AGTTTTGGCTGAGGGGGTGAGTGTGTATTACTTATTACATCTTGTTGTGAGTACGTGTGTGTAGACTTGGGTGGTGGGCGTGGTTAGGGTTTATGCTGGCTTGGTGTTATGTAGGTTCTTTATCTTGCAGAGCTTGCCCTATGGTTCTGTATGTTTCTTCGGTGTAAGTATCTATGGGGGGGACTGGTGCAATAGACTGTTCTGATGTAAGGGATTACAATATCGGGAATGATAGCTCTGAGATTGAAGATGATCCTGATCGTGGGAGCTGAGTGCAATCGGGGCATAGATATTGTGGGCATTTCTAAGGACTTGCACTGGTATGTCCGCCTATTATCCTCGTGATAAACGCCCATGGCAGAAATTGCCAGTTAAGAGATCTCATAACCACAAACTCGTAGTAGTATAATAGTATTATGACACAGTTTAGCAAGACTCAAACATATTATGCTTTCCCAGCGTCCTCAACCAGACCCAGTATCCTTTCCACAGTTGGGTTATCATACACCACCTTCGGCTCCAACAACTCCTTCCCTGGCCTCCATTTGATAATATAGGTGTTCAGTGCGTTGGTCAAATCAATGACCACCAGCGAGTCCAACCCAAATTGGAACAAATCCGAGTCATCCTTGACCTCCCTAATATCGATGTTCTCACCCAGCTGGTCATAAATGACTTTCTTCAACTCAGGCGGTCCCGGATGGACCACCTCCTCCACCCCATTTGTCACCCCATTTGTCACCCCATTCACCTCCCCATTGACATGCACCGGCGGCTGCACAGGAACACTCTGCGAAGCCACAGGCGCCAGCTGCCCCGTCAGCCCAGCAAGCAACCGCGCCAACACATCCTGCACAGCGCGTTCAACCGCGCCAGGCAAAACCCGCTGCAGCGCCTCCTCGACCCTACGATCGAGGTCACCCTCACCAACATCCACCTCCACTGCCTCCCTCTCCACCTCCTGCACAGCAACCCCATCCTTCTTCACATGCGGCCTCATACGGTCATACAACTCCCTAAACTCCTCCGCATACAACTTCAACACCTGATGCCTCTGCACGGTATCCTTGCCCGCCCTGGGCATCGGCTTGTCCGGCTTCGTCAGCATCACAAAGCCGCGCATAATACGTCCATGGGCCGGACAATCCCGATTCGCCTGCAGAATACTCGGCCAGACATCACGCAGGAACTGGTCCTCTTCTTCCTTACTCCGCGGATACGTATACGGCTCAATGAGCACCGACGCCTGGAACTGGCCCTGGCCGCCCACGACGGCAGACTTGACCTTGGCGTTTGCGGAGATGACGCTCTCCATGGTGACGGGGTTGAGTTTCTCGGCGGTGGTGAAGGCGATGATGTCGTCTGTGCGGGCGCGGAAGACCCATGACTCCGGACGGCGCGGGTGCTGTTCGAAGAGATCGCCCATGGCGAACTCGGTCTTGTCCGGGAAGGTGCGGAAGACGCCCTGGAAGAGCTCGAAGCGCGGGTCGCGGGTGAAGACGAGGTCGGAGAGCCCGTCGCGGTCCGCCCGGAAGGTGTGGCCCAGGAACGGGCTGATGGTTAGGTATTGCCAGTCGGCCGGGTCCGGGTTGAGTTCGAGTGGATGCAGGGCGGTTTCGCACGAGCCCATCATCGTCATTAGTTTGATGCGCGTTGTGAGCACGTTGCCTACTTCCTCGGGGAGGGCGCCGCCGACGTAGGAGAGGAATTTGAGGCGTTGTACCATGTTTACGCAGTGGGCGTTGTTGTTGTAGCAGTCGACGATCAGGGAGGGCGCCATTAGGGCGCCGTCGAGG